GACACACCACGCAAACACCACACACACGCAAACCCACACACCACCGCCAACACACACACACGCAACACACGAACACACGCAAAGCACACACACACGCAAACACACACACAACACGCACCACACAACAGCACGCAAACACACACACACACGCAAAACACCACACACACACGAAACACACACCGCCCAGGCGACGAGCGGCACACGCGCAACAACACACCACACGCCCAGCAAACCCACACAACGCAACACACACACACACACCAACAGCACACACACGCAAACACACACACACACGCAAAACACACACACACAAACAAACACGGCCACAAACACAACACACAACGAGCACGAGCGGGACAACACAGACACAAACACACAGCACAAACAACGGCACACAAACGACACACCACAAAACACAACACACACAAACACACACACAGAACCACACACAGAACACACAACACAAACACACACACACACAAAACACACACACACAGAACACACACACACACACAACAAACGCTTTAACACTGCGAAAGTGAGCTCCACTTTCTGCGCTACAACACTCGTTGGTGGTGCGCAGAGGGTACCATCTCGACTGGTAAAAAGGTTAACTTTAAGGAGAGACGTCTCCTATATGAAGGACCGGTGTGTCTGGAGTTACAATTCCTTTATACGCACAGGCGGTTGTCCGACAAGGGTTTCGGTACTTCGTCCGATGTTGTGACATTATGTATGACCCTTTGACAGGCTCGATGCCGGAAGGGACGCAGAACGATTGGATTCGCTGACGATGTTCAATTTCGTTGTCTGGCAGATCACATCGAGCAGAGTCACCAGAGGTTGCCAACGAGCTTGTGCGGAGACTGGCGGGGGCTTACTCGGAGGCTACAGATGCCGCCCATAAACAGAAGGCTTGCTGCGGGACGGCAGAAAGTGAGAGAGATTGTACTCTTAATGTAGGGCTGCAATTCCTCGCACTTCATGAGGTATTGGATGCATATTGACGCGGAGACTGCGCTATTGACGGAGCAACCTGCCAATGCTCTCCAGGAAGCCATATCGATGCATCCGCGATTGGCACGCACTTATGCTATTAGGGGTCCTGGCAAAGAAGCCGGAGCTTTGACATAGCGTAGTAAATCCCATTCTACGCTAGACGCAGCCCCTGTTTGTGGCTTGCCAATGGGCAATTCGTCATCGCCCGTGGCGCTAGTCGTGCATCAGAAGGGTCCCACGGCCCTTGCGTGGGGTGGGCTCAGCGCTTTGCGACCGTGTCCGATGGGATGCTTGTGTGGTGTAGCATATGCCGCCGATCACCTCATGCGCAGGAGAGAAGCTAGACTCTATAATTGACCAAGCGGGAGGAGGCCTCAAACTGGAGATATCATAACGGAAGAAGAGAGAGGCTGCAAGGTGAACCAATGGCACGCCGATGGGAGCAAATCAATCAACTGGGCGAATGACATTCGGCTCATTCCCGACATCTACGTGATCAAAGGGACATGCAGATTAGATTTTTAATCTAACGTTCAGATGCGGACCAGCAGGATGTTACCGGCGATATCAACTGCCATCCGGCGGACATAGCTCACTCATGGCCCAACGCTGTTTCCCGGAGAAATTGGACAATGGTGTAGAACACGTGTTCTTGTCATTGCGCACAGCCATTCACATGAAGAGGGGGAAGGGAACTTCACAGACGTCCTCCAAGAGGAGTAGACCCTAGCCATCGTCCTAAGAGCTCTACACAAGAATGAGAATTGGCATCGTACCACCTTATGCCGACAAAGCCTGAAGACCGCTCCGCTCCGAGACCAGTTACGAAGAAGGACTCCCGTATATTTCAGTACCTGCGAAAAAGCCCATCCTCCTCTCCGCGATTCCGAATGCCTGGACGCGTCCCGGAAAGAATAGGAGAAAAGGGAGCGTTTCTTAGTGTTAGTACTCAGGCTAGCTAATGAATCCCACACGCGCGGTTCGGGCCCGCTGTGCTCTATAGAATTTTCCCCGCCCCCCCCCAACGTTAAAATAAAAAAAAAAGGGAAATAATATAAAAAACACCACACACACACACAAACACACACAAACACACACAACACACACACACACAAACACACACACACACAAACAGCACAGACACACAAACACAAAACACACACACACAACAAACCACACACACACAACATCACCAAACACAACACACACAAACAAAACACCACACCACAAAACACACACACACACACCAACCACACACACACACACACACAAACACACACCACCAACCACACACCACAAACACACACACACACACACACACACAACACAAACCACACAACCAACACACACAAAACACACACCACACAAACACACACACACACAAACACACCACACACACACAAAACACACACAAACACACACACAAAAACACACACAGGCTTATAACAAAGAGCGTTCGAATGAAGATCTCCACGAACGGCTACCAATTTAAATTATAATGCAAATGCACCCGGGGCAGAATTTTTTTGAACTCTATATCGTTAAACAATCCTAAACGACGGCGTCTATGGGAATTCAAAAACTTAACGTTTCTGCACACCGTAATCTACAGGATGAAGTTAATTTGTTGAACATCTCTATACAATTTTTGCTGGTAGCGACATGGGAGCCGAAGACGAGGGTAAGGCTGTGGTGGGAAGACGAGAGGATGGTAGTGAAGCGCATGCAGGAGGGAGGGAGACAAGAGAAAGGCAAATGAGACGACAGACGTCTGCCGCGCTTCCGCTAGGTCATTAGCATATTCTAACCTAAATAATATTAGAAATCAAATTTGGACCACAGAGAAAATGAAGTACCAAACGAGAAAACTCTCAGGCCTTTTGGTAGACGAGGGGGATTCAACCCCCTCCTGGACCGCCACTGTAGGTTTACCATTATACGTACTCAGAATTGAGCATATAATGAATAATGATATAATGAAGTTATGCGAATAAAATACAATGATACGGAGTACTATACTTATATTTCCCCTCTTGAGATTCTTCTTTGACCATTCTTCATGCCACAATCATTACTCTAAAAATATTAAAAACAAAATAAACGTGTAAGCTTAGCTGACATGCTGCCCGCCACTTTTACTTCGCTCGCCAGAAATCACTTCTGCCTACAACTCCAAATTCAACTAATTAGGTTGCACGCGAACTTAATCACAAGGAACAGACATTCTATGCAATTGAAAAATGCAAAATATGTTTGTAGATACTATGTATTGTTTTTTTTCCAAACCATGTCAGAAAATAGAAAAAATGTTAATATACAAATATTATATTTGTTTAAACATGCTTATGAGCATTTTCAAATTTTCAACACCAAATGGGTGTCGTTAGATGGTTTGGAGCAACTGAACACATTGTTTCTCAGAGAGTAAATGGAACGATGGCTTACCAGTAATAAGATTTTAAATGAAATACAAACCTGTGTAGATCATTACTATTTCTTCCGACATGGACAGGCCTATCTCAGCAACCATACACTTGCCAAGTGATGGTCAAATAAGCCTCGTTACAGTGTGAAGCAAATTCTTTCTCTAGGCTCTTACCAGTATGTTTACGACTCCTCTATCTAAACACGGTCCTTTGAGACATGGTGGGACTATAAACTTGTCAATACCGGTTGATGCCGAATAAGTGTTTCTGGCAGCAGACTTCGAACTATTTACATATACAACATTTATTGGAATTGAATTTATTTATCAACCCCACAGTTATTTATGAAAATAATTCTTTTTTCTTTTCCAGCAATTGTTGGACTCTGTTGCAACTACCGGTAGAATATCTATTCCTATTTTTTTATGCTAATATGAATTATTTTCGAATGACCATTTTCCATCGTTCTCATGACCATTGCTGATTTCTACTTCTATATGTGAAGACGGTTTTGCGTTAGCAAAACTCTTTTTATTTACTTATAGAAGTCAAAATTTCAATATCCTTAACTAGTGGTGAAATTATTTAAATTTGGTTTATTCATCCTTTTTTGGGAGAGCAGTCTGGTGGGTGGGAGCTTTGCTTTGGTCAATAAATGTTATGCTACCCAACCAGTTAGTGCGTCCACAAGAAGTACCTGCATGTGTAGATGACGCTGAGGGGTTTCCGCTAGCCGTACACTGTCGCCCGACACTTGTCCACCTGAGCCTTCAAGAACTGCCAACTTGCCCTGGACTCCCTGTCTCACCTGGCTGCCAGTACACAGCATGCATTCAAGAAGAACCTAGCTTGCAAAAAAGGGTTCCAGATATGAGAGAGAAAATTATAATCTTAGAGAGACCAAAAAACCTACACATGAAGATAAAATTGTTAAATATGCTGTGAACTCTTTATTATAATTCTCACATATATAAGTCTCCACAACATTGAAGTAAGTAGTTGTCTTAAGGAGATAACAATGAAGAAATAAGCCCTAGACTATTATGGGAAATTTCCTATTGCAATGTATGGACCTCTAAAGATTAAACTGGATGCATATCAAATATGAGACATTTTTGTTTGGAAAAGAATGCTGTTAATTGATCTTATTCAATGTACATTTAATATTTCTCAGATAAATGTAAAACTTACAAATAATTATTTTGAGTGAACATGAAATATACAACAAAATTTCAGGATAATTTAAATAATTAATTGTTTTAAAACATGATGGTAGTGAATCCTTGAATCCCACATAGCTGAAACTTTGGGACACAAAGGTCAATATGTCTGTACCAGTTATAGCTGCTCATTAGCTTCCTCCTTGGATCTATTTTCAATTATTGGATTGTAATATTAGAACCTACGAGTTTCACACATATTATGGAAATACGGAGATCTTGAAAGAAAATGATAGGCAGAACCCCCCAATAGTTATGATTAACAAAGCACGTTTCTTCAACTTTATGTCTCATATCTCAACAATTTTTCTATAATAGACTATCTTATATACTGTTTTATTAACTTGACACTTTTTTGCTTCTTACAGATTCTCTGGCTTCTAAAAACAATGGAATTGTAGCTCTGGCAGAACAGAGTATGACTTTCACTCCAAATAGATGAACTAACGTGATGCAACCAAAATTAATTGATCTTTAAATAAATCAATACAGTTAATTTCAGTTAAATAATTTCAATCTATTTCAAAAAAATCAAATCAAACCTCAAATAATATGAAATCGACTATGCACAATGAACAACAGAAGTTAAAATACATGTCAAACTCGCCAATTGATTATAAAGGTTTTATTTCCTTAGCACTCCAAATGCAAATACTTAATATGCAATAATACAAATAATATAATTGGATAATGATGACTGATAGTGAAAGAAATTAACTTTCATAATAGTTCAGTGGTAAACAACAAGTATCCTTGAAATAAAGTTCTTCTCTAATTACAAATTAATATGGAAAGTACTGGACAAAACCTACTGCAGAAGAATTTAATCATGAATCTAGAGAGATAAAAAAATCTTTTGAAAATTAAAACAATTTGAGGTAAACATACAAAGCATTTTTTCATAGAAAATAAAGAAAATCACTTTTAAAAGCTGTAAATAACATCACTTCCATGCAAAATGACTTTTTTGGGTTGACAAAAGAATGTGTATACCAATTAAGGCAAACTTAACGTACTTTAAACATCAGAAACATCGATATCAAAATAATTTTATAACAGAACAATTTATTTTTGTTCAAGGCACAAACTAATGCCATAAAGCGATAAAAGTCGCAATACAGTAAATAATTAACAATACTATACCTCCTGTCTGGCATTCCTCTCGTGTTCAAGCACTGTACGTGCGCCAAATTCAGACCTCACGCTGTGCAGACTTTGCCAACCCATCCTGCTGCTTGCCCTTCTAATCTTTCCGTCATCGCTAATCTCGACAATTGCGGCTACCATACTGTTCCTCCCAACTGGGCGTCTTCTCCTAAACTCATTAATATTTACTCATATTATCAATAACTAGAATTTGCGTTCAAAAAAAATTTTACCATAAAATAAGGTCAATGTGGGATATCTTATAAAGTAGGCTTCTGACGACCGTTAACCTCAAATATAAAGAGTAGAATGCAATTATGGACTACAATCTGTCAGAATGCCATTACCTAAGTGACTTTCTTCCTGCATATTTCTGTTAAAGCAAAAACAAAACAGAATAATAACTATGTTGCTACAGGAATTCAAGACCTTTCCCTGTATTACGACTTTTCTGTTTCTTTTGTCTCGGCTAGGGTAGGTTCGGACAGCCCACATACTCTTGCCCGGCAAATATCAGCCAAAGTCATTTTTTGATGATTTCTGGTAATTTTTCGTCTCTTTATAGGTAAACAAAATAATACTTGAAAGAATAGGTAAAATCCTTCTAACATGGCAAATTTCTTTCAAAAATTTGAACACCGTTTTTTTAAAATGGTGTTAAGCCACTCCAAATTCGAAAGTGTGGGGAAGTTCATCTCACAGAAAATTTTTGAGTTTTCGAAAACCGGACCTTAGAGACTCATTTGAAGCACAAACTCATAATACAAATAGTTTTATTAAATGGGTCTGGATGAATATGATAACTAATATGCTGATAAGATTTTTTAAAAATTACATTCATGTATTTTGAAAAACAAAATAAAAATCCACAAGTAACTTAGTCATATAAAACACCTGCAATAACACTATTCTCAAAACGTATTGAAGAGAAAATTTTACATTATGAGAAATGAGGGTTCAGGGCGTTTCTGAAAGTGTGAAATTTTCGCCAAGTTTTCACAGAACAACTGGAGTTTCAGAAACTGTAGTATGATATTATTTAGAGCACAATGTACTCATAAAAGAATAATGAGAAATGCGTATCGAAAATAAATATAAACCGTAGAGAAGTCAAAAAAATCTACGTTTTTTAATTTTAAAAAAAAAACAACAAAGAATAGAGCACATGCTCTTATGAGTAATTTCCAGAACTACCCCTACCAACAGTTTAAAGAAAAAAATTGACTGTGTTTTGAGAAAAATTTTCGTTATTTTTTTATAAATGCAGCGAATTGCAGGCAATTTGCGAAAACACGACTAAATCTTTGAAATGTGTATATGAAATAAACAAAAGAATCGCTATGGAGAAGCAAATTTATTTGAAGAAAAAACAATTTTCTCTTTTAATTTTGTCTACGATGTAGGAAAAAGTCCGCCAAAAATTCAAAATTTGCAAATTAGAAGTTAACCTGTAAAACGCCACATATGCCACATTGTATCAGTGTATTACTCCGTTTTACACGAATGTTAAACTACAAAATTGGCAGCTAATTTTTAGAAAAGTCGTGAAATTCTCCGGGGGCTTCATATAAACTACCCGCCATAATTTTGCAAAAAAGGTTTTCAAAATAGCCGCGCCTTTGAAGTGGAGCCAGATCAACGGGGGGATATCATTTTGACACAAATCGTACGTAGTTTAGGCCGCTAGTGGTATTCACAGACACTGGGACAGTCGACGCGTCAGACTATCAGAACGGATGAAATAGATCTCCAAGTTCATCGACGGATACGCTTCCCTAGAGGAATGTAGATGTATGCACAGAGAACGTGAGAGATGGAAGACACTGCGCGCACACACACACACCACTTTTTGTGTTCGATCTGAACTATAACGTCTGCACGAGAGCAACAATCGTGAATCACGTAGCATCCTCCCCTGTACGAAAAAACGCCCACAATAAAAACAAAAAAAAATCCAAACAAAAATAACAAAAAAAAAAATAAAAGATAAAAACCAAAGAGAGAAATAAATCAAAAGAAAACAAACAAAAAGAGATAAATAATACAAAATAATAACACAAAAAAAAAAAAAAAAAAAAAAAGTCCCAGAAGAAAGAAAATAAATTAATAAAATACATTACCACAATGAAAATAAAGTAATAAATAAGTTAAATTAAAAAAAATAAAAAAACAATAATAATATTAATAATCTTATATCCCAAAGAAACATACAAATAATAACCACAAGAAGAAAAAAATAGAACAAGGAAAAATCCCTTCCACTGATGTTCTCCTTCCGAGGAGAATCCTCCTGACCTCCAGCGACTACATTCTTTCCAGCGAGTATCCTAAGTGTCTACTGTGTGAACTGGTATACTGCCCACTTCGACAGCACTATAGTGGCAATCTCAGGTAAGGTCAGGGAAGTATTAATGTAGTAGGCAGTAGGTCTAGTAGGTAGTAGAGGCAAGTACGTAGGTAGGCAGGTAGGCAGTATGTAGGTACTTAGTAGTAGCAGGCAGGAGGGCAAAAGAGGGAGGCAGAAGGGAGGAAGGAGGGAGGAAGAAGGAGGAGGAGGGAGGAAGAAGGGAGGCAGGATGGATAGGGAGGGAAGAGGGGGAGAGAGCGGGAGGAGAGGGGGAGGGAAAGACGGAGGTAGGAGGGAGTAAGGAAGACGGGAGGGAAGAAGGGAGAGGAAGGAGGAGGGAGGGAAGAACGGGAGGGAGGGAAGGAGGGAGGGAGGCGAGAAGCGAAGAGATGGAAAAAGAGGAGGAAAGGAGGGAGGGCACTGGTTGGAGTTAGCCGGATGGTCGCCTTCGTAGTTAACACAATGCGGTGGTGTAGCACAGGGTTCTGCTTAGTGCACATACCGCACACCGGGCTTTCCGCCATGCATTTTTGCTCTTAAACGCCAAATCTTTGGCATTTAAAGCACCGCAAAGGGTTAGGCAGGTTATCAAAATCGCAGGAGTTCCTTTCAAGGAGAGACGGAAGATCGAAAGTCAGAATCAGAGTAGAAGTGGGGATGTCTCACCCATGCTCTTTCCTCTTGATCCTGTGAACGTCCGTCATACTCTAGCTCTTAAAGAACGCGACTAGTTCTTCCTCACTATCAGTAGTAAAGTTCTCATAGTTGACCACTCCCTTGCAGAGGGTTAGGAGTTGAGTGCGTGGTCATTTCCACCTGGAGGCCTGCAATCTGCCTAATTTTCCTAACCTTTTCATTTTCTTCATCCGTGCGTGCTTCGAAAGGAATGGCTCCGTTCCTTTGCCGCACCAAGGCTTGTAGTTTCCCATACATCTCTTCAATAGCGCGCGCCAAACGGACAGCACTAACCAATTTAAGAGATTCATCTTCCTCAATACATGCTATGAGGAATTTTGCTTCTTCAGTCATCGTCGTCTTTTAGAAAGAAGCTATTCAGATCGGTTCTACGTTCCAGACAGCTCTTCCTTGCGGAAGAGGACAGGGGGGATTTGGTATCCATTCAATGGATAGAAATTCATCTCCATGCTCCCCACCCACTAAGGAGACCGACAAGGGGACATCCCACAGGGGGTGACAGGGTTGGCCCGGAGATATAGCGAGGTGACGACACAGCTCTGTCCCATCGTAGATTCCCCGCTCACCGAGGAGTTCAGTACAAGACCTAATCGGAGCCGATTGATCGAGAGTGGGTTAACTCCTGACCGTCCGTCTAGAGTTCGAAGCCAAAGCAAGTGTATTCAAACCTACAAGGAATGTTCCCCAAAATACGTAAAAATGTATCCTTAGGTGCAAAGCAGAAAGTAGCACAAGGGGAGTAGTTGGGTCACACATTCCCTCCGACACGGGTCGCCATGCACGACAAACACATGGTTCAGCATACAGATGAGGCCAGTGAAATAGAAGGGAAAGAAGATAAGACAAGATGTTATAAAAGAATGAACTCATTAAATTACTCATTTCTGGTTCGTTGTGATAATTGTGAAATCTGGCTTCAGAAGCTGCGAGTGTCAGCAGGATTACGGTTCCTGAAAAATAGGCATTTAAAAATGTACGAGTGTGTCTGCGGTTCACAACAAACCAGAAATGAGTAACTTCTGTTGGACCTAAAAAAATTATGATAAAAGAAAAAACTGAAGATGAGGCGCAAAAGCTGAAACGTCATGTTGGAAATTTGAAAACTGTAAGACGTATGTAAGGCTTGAATTGTATCGTATGAAATAAAAAATCTATTTTTTTTAAAGCGATTGGTTATTAAGAAGTACCAATTGAAGAATTTTGTTTAAATTATAATAAATAACTGAAAATTAAATAAAAACGTATGTATTTAAACCTGCATCTTTTTGTATGCTCCATAATTACATTGATTATTTCTCTTATAAAAGTCTTTTTTTGTCGCATATATCCAAAGTTATTCTCCAATTTAATAAAGACTTTTAGAGGGAAAAAGTATGAAAACAATTAGTGGAGTACAAAACGAATACCTTAAACAGTTAATTATATATTAATATTGTAACGAACATTGCATCACCTGCCAGAATTCGCTGCGCGCGGATTGCGTCATTTGCCGCCCCCCCCCCCCTTCCCTCCACCCCGAACTGGGCGGTTCTGGACCATTCGCGAGTCGCCAGGTGGAGCAAGTGCTGGTTGTGTCAGGACGAGAGCCGGCCAGGTATAAATTCGCTGCTGCCGGCGGCCGCGAGTCAATAAGAAGTTAGTCAGTGTACGTCAGTGCAAGTTAGTTAGTGTAAGTATGTCAGTATAAGTTAGTGAAAGTAGTAGTCGGAAGTACGCAGCCGCAAGTCAGTGTATGTAGTCAAATAGTAAAAGTCAGTCCGATACTGTGTCTGAAGCGGAAGCTGTGCTGTTAAGTGAACAGTGGTGCAGTGGGTGTACAGCAGTCACCAGTCTGGTCTGCAGTGGAAGCTGAGCTGTGAAGTGTGCTTCGCAGTAAACAGCAGTGCATTGGACCCTGGTGTGAGCAGTGAATTTGTGGTCTATGCAGGGAATTGAGGACTGCGCAGAGAATTGAGGTCAGAGCAGTGGACCGTGGACAGTGCTTCGGACTGCAATAGTGTAGAAGTAGACTGTGTAAATAAATAATTAGAAGTGAACTGTGTAAATAAATAATCTAGAGAACGGAGTCGTGTGTAAGGAAAATAATCAAGTGAAGAACACAAAGGCTATGTAATATATTTGTAAATAAGATCAAGTAATTTTAGTGTATAATTCATTACGAATAAAAGTTTTTGTTAAATATTATCTGTGCTGGTTTTAATTCACCACCGAGAAACGTTACAATATGATTGTCACAATATTAATGATTTAATACAAGTATCCATTTTCATTTCTGACAATCTTCAGGGATTGTCAGAAGTGAAAATGTATACTTGTGATAAATTCTTAAAAAGCTTACCTCCTGAAGCTGCCGCTGGGCTGCTTCCAGTGCCAAGCATTTCTCTTGTTGCTGATGTTTCCAATCTAATTCTTGTCCCGGCTGATCCTGCTGTAAGTAAAGAAAGTTCATCTAAACTGAAGGATGAAAATGATACAAGAGCACACAGTTTTAAAGCGGCATGAATCCCATCAAAACACCCGTGAACAGTGATACGTAACAAGACATTTTCAGACGTCATTTCACTGAACCATGATATTTCTCAACTTCATTTCTTTACACACTAAGGCAATAGCATTTTAAAGTTTTTTCTCTTCAATTATGTAATTTAACTTTAATATCGAGAAAAATATTTTTTGGGAAATAAAAATAAATTACTATACGTGTATAAAATTAGTGCATCTACAATCCCCGGGAGCATAACCAGATGCATCTCGGACAAATTTACATTTAAGTTTTAAGCATATAATAAATATGAGGATCTGATTAACATTAAAGAAACATTTGCTGATAAGATTATTTCATTTGTTCTGATGATGTATTTAATACTACAGGGGAAACTGCAAAACTAGTGGTACTAAAACACCACGTACTTCTCGATTTTAGTTCTAGTTATGTAATACTACATGGTTATTCAAATAATTGTCAGCGTTTCAAAAAATCATAATACACGGGGTAATTTACTTAGAAATATGAATCTTATTTTATTGTGAAATGAAACTCAAAGTTTTTTACATACACTACAAATGCTCAATAGGAAGCGCCCTTACCCACTAGACACACATCCACCCGATAGCCCACTTCTTCCCAAACCTCAAACATCTTAGCAGTGATTCTTAGGAAGATTGTTCTGATGCGTTGCTTCAGTTCCTGAACATTCGTCGGCAGAGGGGAGATAAATGCTCGATTTTAACACATCCTACGGGAAAATATCACATGGCGTGAGGTCTCATGAAAGTGGTGGCCAGGGTAAGAGCATCTGACCACGGTCCGTCCGGCGTCCGATTTACCGCTGCGGCCGGGCGGGCGGAAAGGAACATTTTGCCGGCCATCGATTTTGGTATGAAAGAACCGCAAAACAATGATTCTGATACACCACGTGTTGAAGGAGTCTACTTTTGCAGCAGTTTTATCAACATATTCGTTACCAGGCCCGTGTAATAAGTGTTTAGCAAATTCACTGTTCTTTAGCATAGCATAACATAACTTTCTCTCCATTCTAGGAAGAAAGTAAAAAATACTGGACAATAATGCGACAAAAAAAAGCGTTTATGGGTTATAACTACAGCTCGGACAACGCCTTATTGGCCAATTTTATTTCTTTGAATATATTTTCAGGCAACTTACTCCATTATCAATGGTCACTTAATAAATTACTGTTGCTAAGGTATTATAATGCCTGTAAATGCTCATATTAGAGATAATTGCCTATTCAAGCGTTAACAGCCTATTAGTGCTTATTTTGATTCTTTGACACTTTTTCGTATTTGTTGTTATTATTTTGTTTTCTACAAAAATTTTCTTTCAGAAATCACTGTTGAAATTGTTTACCAAACTAGTAGCCACCTTGTCAAGTGCATCATGGCGTCCATCGATCAGGGGCTCTATGACCTGAGTGTTCTTGCTTGTTACGCGGCGAGGACACCGCTTAGAATATATAATATATTATAATATATACATAATAATAATATATGAGGCGGGATAAGCTTATCTATTACGCCGAAGCCTGTTAGGCCGCTCCGTACAATTTCAAAAGCACCATAGTTTATTTTCACCCAACAGCTGCACACTGAATCCCAAATCGAAACTATAGAAAAATCACATCCTGCATCTCTCCACACAGCTTTCTTCAAATCACCAGAATGCATCCCCTCCAGTTAGGCAGATCTCACTCTTATAACCAATATTAAAAATAGATTTCCCTTCCATACCTTCCTTAAAAAGCTTTCCGAAATTTAACACCCCTGAGGTCTTAGAATTAAGTTATTGGCATTAAATTTATATTAAGCCAACAATACAAATGTAGAGTGTGAACTGAACTTTGTAAAACATGAAAACGATTATGATAAAAAAGGGCGCACCAGAGAACAGGAAATTGCTCTCGTCCTTCCGATCTCCGCTATCATGTGCGAGCAAGTAGGTTTCTTTCCAATAACACAACTCCCTTCAAGATTAGCGCTCCTGGTGTCTTTTGCTTTTAGAAGTAGATTAACCCAATGTGGGCCAAGTTTTCTTCTGTAATAATTTTGTGTTGGTTTCGAAGTCTGGTACATGCCAGATCAGAACGTTTGCAGTTATTGTTGAGCACGCTTACTACAATTCCAAAAGTATCAAAAATGCATTTCTAAAAGAGTGGATTGTGGACAAGGTGGTTTCACGACCGTCGGAAATACAATGTTTTGTCAGTTGTGAATACATGGTAAGCTGTGTCAAAAATATGTATCTTACAACGTAAGACACTGCAACTCATGCAAAAAAAGAGGGTAAAGTCAGAAAAACTATTAAGCCGTTTCTTTACCATGTGTGGTCACAAGGTGAAGACAAGAAATACTGATTTGTGCCGTGCGTTGATTGCCGCGAACTTTCCTATTTTAAAACTTGAAATCCAACTTGAAGTGTAACCAGTGTGGTAGCCTTGGTGTAAGTTTCTTGAAAAAATATACAAACTATAAATTTCAACACGAGTCGACTCTAAGGAAATATTATCTCACTCCGCAATATGTTTTTGCAATCGAAGAAATCCAATTTGTTTTTAGAGAATAATGCTCATCTTTAATGTACGTATTATATAGAAATTTCAATATTCAATTAAAATATTCAATTATCCACCACACTGCGATTTCCCTGTCAGTTTTTTTATTGAGTTTTCAGTTCATTTCCCGTCTACTTTTAAGTTTCTAAGTGAGCTTTAGCTTACGAAATTGTGCTTTCCATTACTGAACGCACTTTCTTACGAACTCGATTGTCGGTTATATATACTCGCCACGCGGGTTTGTTAAGTCGTGCACATGGCACACCAGCTGTTGAGATTTCATCCAATCTGGAGCTTACAGTGACTAACAAAACTATTCGGACACAGGAAAGTTAGCAAAATTAGCATGGATTAGGAATGGTAAAAGAAGAAAATAAATATAATAAAGTATATTATACGTTCACTTTCATAAGCAGTTATAAGGTATACCCAAAAGTTTCTTTACAATCACAACAATCAACTGATATTTTTAAATTCGAATTTTTTGTGATGAAAAGTTAACTCGCAAAACTATTAGGAATCTTAAATGAAAATATAAACAAATATGCGCAGTAAAGTTGTTCAAAGAGAAAAAATACGTAAAAAATAACACAGTAAGAAAGTTCAATATCTTCTTTCCATCCCCTTTCGCTGCAGCACTTCCTTCAGTTTATTTGGTATACTTTGAACCAAGTTTAGGATACACAGAGGAGTTTTCTTCATTCTTGTTTGGAATGAAGTGAGTATTTTCTTATCTCCTTTTCCATTTTTTTCCAAGATGTTCTATACCAGTAAGGTCTAGAGACTGAAATGTGGATGAAGTACGCTGTCTTTGAGCAGCTGTACGGCAGCCAAAGTTAAAGAATCTGTGACTTGTGCAAGGAATGATTATCTTGATAAAAATAAAATTATCAAGAATAACTAAGATTTTCAGTACTTCTTTTAAATTTTGTTTAAGAATGTCAAGAGAGATAAACCTGTTCATCATTTGCTCAATGAAAAGAAGTTCATTGACACCACTGGCTGACATGCAGCCCCACACCATTACATTTTCTTCTCCGTGCTTCGCGGTTGCTTACACGTTCTCTCCTTTCAGCTCTTAATTTTGTCTCCTTCCCGCCAGAATTCTTTTATCGGAAGCCCAGATGTTCTATTCGATTTGTCACACCGCAGCCTTTTCCTTCGGTTCTTTTAACTTCTAAATGGCTTACATCTGCCAACGCGGCTATTGAAGTTTGACCTCCTTAGTACCCTTAACACAGTTTCTGGATTTACTTTCTTACCAATGTCTATTTCGAACAGTACAGGAAATTTTGGTGCAGTAATACGAGGATCCTTCTTTATTATTTTTGAAATGAAATTATCTTCTCGAACAGGAAATGTCTTCGGACGTCCTCCTCCGGGTTGCAATTCCATCTTCTCTTCATTGATGTACCGTGAGATTACATAACTCACTGCGCTATCTTCATTAATAGACTTTTGCACATTTTCCGGCATGATTTGCCCTTTTGAGTGATGGTAAACAACCAGCTGATTCTGTTCAAAAGTAGTATTCTTTCTTCTGCGACTCAATTCGCTTAACTGTTAAGGTTCCCATCCCATCCCATCCCATGAATCTGGTTTATCGACAGACAGGTGACAGACACTTGAATGTGCAGCAAGGAATGAGGTTTCAACGCTCGTTTCGGAGTTCGAAAGATCCATTACCACGTTGTCCTAACGACTGTCTAAATAGTTTTGTTGAAGCGAAGCCTCTGCATCGGCGATTAATTTTTATTTTAATCAAATACATATTTTTGAAAGTATTAACAATGTTTACGTATATTCTATTCCTTTAAATTTGTTTGCTAACTAATGATGTGGTTTACTGAGGAAAATTTGAGCAATTTTCGATTAAATTAATAAATGTCCGAATAGTTTTGTGAGTCCTGTAGATGTTACTTCAGTCTTTATAGAGATGTTCAAGCTCCCGATTGGATGAAACTGTGAACAGCTGATTTACTTCAAATGCATGGTTAAATAAATCCTAGTATAACCTGGTTTGAAATTGTTTACAAAAGATTGGAGCCACGCGGAGTATTGTGGAAATACGGAGGCAGGGTGGAAACGCGGAGTATATGCATTTACGTATATTTTCTATTTGCATTCAAATTCAAGGAGCCGTCATCGGCCATATTGATTGAGAAATGTCCATTTTAGAGAACATCTGCTGAACGGTTTAGCCGTTAGCATTGTTCACAGAAGGATAAAAGTTTTGCCTTCAATTTTTGGTGCAAAGTACTCACAAAACATGAATTTTGGCTACACCACGTGTAAGATTTTTTTTTAAAAATTTAGTGACTGGATTTATCAATTTTCGTTTCCAGGCCCCTGTAAGAAAATATTTATTAAAATTTATTTATTAACCATTTATTAAAATCCAGTACCTCTTCTGTTTTGAGCATTTTCACTTCAAAATTCATCTTCTAATCATCTCTACCATTAATTCTGCATATTCTTTCAGCAGGTAGCGTAGGTTTCATCCACCTTCCAAATTTCCTTTATAGCATGCATAAATTTCTATCAGAAAGAAGTAAGAGTGGCCTCTTGTAAGAAAATAATGGGTGATGAATTGAAATCTTCCCAGTACCACAAGCATTAAACAAAATCTCACCACTGCATGGCTTTTATTTTGGTCTCCACAAGAGTTGCAGAAAAAATGAAGGTGTTTAACATGTCCAACATTTTTATTTATATAGTCCAAAAGAAATGAACACTTCATCTGGACTTTTTCATGCAATTCCTTCAGGATACAGGTAAAAACCTGACTGTTCCTCCCCTAAGTTATGCACATCGGACAATAAAATTTGACACAAGTGAAAAGTTTTATCAACTACAACAATAGAAATCAATTCAAAGAGGAAGAGACAATATCAATTATTCCCCCTGTTTAAAATGGTGTGGATAACTTAACATTTTGAAAAAGCCCATTACTTTTGTATACGCAGTGTTACTCTTCATTTTCAGTGATACAATGGCTGTATAACAACACAGAAAATCCGTAAACAAAAGGGATTTCTCTACATCATGATCAGACTATATCATAGGTAACTCAATTACATAAAAAATGGATATGTGAGCTTTCTCAAAATTCCCATTCAATTGTGGAACTACATGCACACACTCCAACAATGGTACAAGCACCTAGGTAGTATAAGAGGTATCACGAATACAGGAACAGGACTGACAGGGGCCTAAGAGCTATATCTAAATGACGTGGGAGCTTTACACCGAGAATTGTTTCACTGGGAGTTGTTGTTAATGAGGGAAGCCCTGTTGAGCCCTTTAGGTGCTGACAGATAGCAGCCAGGAAGGTGGAGGCACAAAATCACAAGGAGAGCCCCAACTTATTAGAAAATGAGACGAACTTTAATGCTGTGCCGTGTTGTAGCACCACAAGTTGCTTTTGTTTGAGGCACATGTGCTGGAGTAACTTTAATACACAATTTGTTCCTGATCTGTAATGCATCCGTGTTTAAAAGGCTAGATGAAATGTCACAATGCAGAAAATCTCTTTTTAAATGTGACTACCTTAAAATGGATTTTGCAAATTGTGCAATTTTCACATTTTGAATCGGGTATTATACATTTACACTTGCTTTTTCTCAACCACTTCAAAACCTCTTTTGCTAAGCAGATACAATGTATGGAAAAAATAAATTTGAAGTCTTGTATTGTATTCCTTAATCCTAAGGAAAATTAGAACATGCAAAACCATTTTGTTCTTGTTCTTTTCAGCACAGCTGTAACACTAGATGTCTAGCTCTCAATCAGATGCCAACTAAGAAGATTGTACTTCATGAACTTGTTGAGTAATTTCGTACTTCCACCTGCTATACCTTCATACCACAAGCATATACAGCTTGTCAAAGAATCAACCATGTAAACATAGTTCAACCATTGGAGCACTTTCAACATATTTCTGGATGTCAAAATGTATGTAAAAAGAAACTTGTTATTACATATCTAGAGCAACAATGATCACAGCAGTAAGGTACTAGCTGCCTAAAAGCAGAAAGAAGCTAGAGATCCTCCTCTGCCGATGAAGATCTTATCTTTTAGCAATTGAAAGGAATGTTTTTGGCACCCCTGCTTACTTTTATTTCAGCAGCTAGTATACCATAGGTGTAGATGGTATCTATTTGCAACAAAACAGGCTGAAGGATATTTTGTGGAGAGATGTAAGCTTTTACCTTTGACAAATTGTTTTTCTTAACACCACATAATATGTAGGTTCAGATCACAAAGCTGCAAAACACAAAACTGCTACATACAGAATAGCTCAACATGCGAAGGCATTCTTTTCTTAACCAGTTGCAGTGTTACTTCCAACACTATATTGCGACATTACTGCCCGACTACCATATAATGTGACAATGTGATATCTGAGATCATTTGTGACAGAAAATTTACCACCATGCAAATTAACATTAGGAGCAAACTTGCCACTTATATTCTTTTCCATATCATTTCTATTCACAGATTTTTGTAGCAACTACATACTCACCTTAAATTCTTGTTCCTTTTGTACTAGAACATGTTGTAGTTCTACTTCCTCTGTGTGCTCTTCATCTTCTCTGCAACAAGCAAATCAATAAGACAACCAGCACTTTCTCCCAAGAAAGTGGATTTCACTAATTGTCTTGTAAGAAGACAGTTTTAGTGGTATATAATTAATGTTAGTCTCACTGCTAGCCTATATTGTTTATGATCATGTTCACTACAGAAAAGTACTTCATACTATATAATGGCACATTCAATTAACACAACATTTTATTTATAAATGTCTTCAAGATCAAGGAATTGTACTAACAATAATTAAAAGAACAAAACTTGCAAAAAATGAGCAGAACAAACCTACAAAGGTAAATTTTCCATAGGACCACAAATATTCATTATAGGCATTCTTCTCTATATACTTACTCTAAATGAATTGAATGAACTTATTTTTCTTTTGTCGTTACTGTTAATAACTAATATTGATTGTGAATAACTAAAAGAGTTTCATTGAAAATGATACTCTTAATGCAAAGCATGTTTAAAGCATTAAAAAACAAATGTGCTAACCTAGATATATTCAAATTTTCTAAAGACCATGCCAGGTCTGGGGACGACCAAGAGAGAAGTGACTGTCTTGAGAGGTTAAGCTGGGTCTGTGATCCTTCCTTGCGGAGCTTTGCTGCCTCCACTGGATCATTGTATCTGAACATGTTTGTGTGACCAAGCAATAGGATACATCCTGTGAACAGAAGATTGTGAACATGAATTAGTACATAACAGCAAACAACAGAAGATATACTTAGAAACAATTATCAAATGGTTTGGAGCTAGAGGGATACAGCCCTGGTTTAAAAAATTATAGAAAGGAGAAGTGTTTTAAATTCAACCATTATTCTAAATTGCATGCCTGGTACACATTTTACACATTACACATTTGTTAACATGCCATTAAGTGTTATAATAGAGCCCGAAGCTTGGCAAAAAGCCTCTTTATTATTGTTACAATTTTAGGACTAGTACCAACAGGAATCACTTAATTGTACTTCTGAAGTTGTTTTAGTCAATTTTCATTTTGCCTTTTTTTTTTGCCCATTTTAGCTCCTGATGCCTATTTATGAGATTTTGGATTATTGGTGCCTTTTCCTTCCTCATTTTTGCCTTATCTGCCTTTTTTGTCATTATTTTCCAGTTTTCCTCTTCTTGGCACCAACCTCTATCAAGCTGGAAACATACCTGCAAGCCTGAACAAATGATGGCATTGTCGTGTATTGTTTCTGTGGATGTAAAGGCTCCAGTGTCAGGTTGTTTTAAAAATCTAAAAAGGAAAGGAACCAGTGAAGATTTTTTTATATTTTTCATCAATGCTAGTTTGTTCACGAGAAATTTTATTCTACGTTTGTGTATTGCATTGGTTCCCTTTTGAGGAAAGAGCTCTCCGTACATGATATACCGTTCTCAGTTCCTTCTAGTTCTCTCTTCCCTTCTGGTGATTACAAAAGTGCGAAGAACAAAATCTACAATTCCATTTTCATTGATACCATATCAAAATTAAGAAGGCAGTCCACAAAAGCATTTCATAGAGACAGTGTAGAGACTCTGTCTTATTGTTTTCCATTCCTAAGAATTACAGAAACACTTTTTAAGATCCTGTATATTATCTCTCGCAAGCTCCATAACTTTCAGTTTGGGAGCCTTGGAATATACTGAGTTGTTATAAGCATGCTGAAATCATGCAATGTTATGACTGGTATTTTATCTTGAATGTCTTCCACGTTTAGTTCCTGTGCAATTGCTAGCTGCACTCTTTCACTGATAGTAATACTCCTTCCTTCAGGTTGTTATAGATAACACACTGTATTTTGTAATGCAATACTTAGTCTTTCTGTTATTACTTATTATTATGACAGGATTCTAAATGAAGGGTATTAAAATATCCACAAATTGCATTTCGCATTTTGGCCTTCTTCAAGGGCTGAAAACTGTCTTCTTGTTTCATTAACGTGGCTCCTCTGTTGGACAAAACAATATCTACTGCTTCTATCTGAATTTTTTCATACAAGAAAAAACAAATGAGCAATTGTATTTGATGACACATCATCGACAGCTCTTAATTTAACACATGTGGAGCTCCTCTAAGTGGAGTATCTCCTTATTGCACCAAAACTCTCAACTGAAGAATAGATGCACTTAAGACAGGTGAAAATAGGTTTCTTGGCTGCTTTTTGGGGGTTCTATTTTATATTGTAATTATCTCAACACAGGTTGTTAGTGTACAGTTCTGTAGTAACATGGCAGAGAGAACTAAGCTCCTATCTGTGATGCTTAGACAGGTTTAAAAAAGCAAATCAGTCACTGTGTTGTGTTGTGGGTTGATTATTGCTTTGTAATCCCAATGTTATACAAAAACAATTAAATCTTCATCCACAAAGTGCAGAAATTTGTAAAACATCTGAAAAATGAAATCACTAATTACCTACTTCCTGGTAGTTATAAATGTCCATGTCCTTTAAATTACAAGTAAATTTGTACTTCCCTTATAATGATATGTTTTGTCTATTGCAAATGGGATGCTGTAATCTGGAGGTAATGTACTGAAAGCCAATCTTCTTTTAAGGTGTATGTAGCACCAAGGTATGGGGTGGATATATTAATAAATGGTGAATAGAGTTCAAAATTTAGGATGGCATTTACATGGATGCCTTACTGTCAGTAAATTTGTGTTACTCTGGAATGAATAAAAGAAAAAGAGAAGATGTTGAGTAAAATCCAAATTGAGTAGAATAGAGTACATCGGCAGTTTCTCAGAAATAAAGTTTGAATACCCCTTTACCCACATTTAAAAGTTCCCATTGCTTCAAAGACATTGGCCAAATTTAGATTAATACAATCCATTATGAAGGAGTTGTCATCAGTCTTATCATGCCCAATAGAGTTTAAAAAGTCATTGGACATGTATTGTGACTTAAAGTATGTAAATTAACCTGCTGCCTCACTTGCTTCACAATATGTGCTTCCCCAATGAAGTCTGGAGGGAATATCTTTATTCACATTCAAATAAACAGCATGCTTCCAGAAGAATTTCAGTTTATATACATATATATACATATACATATATATATATACATATATATATATATACTCCTGGCTGGCCTTTTATTATATATATATATATAAATAAATTATACACCTATTTACTCCTGGCCAGAGGCACTACAAGCATCTGCTGATACTCTGAGCCACTCTCTCCGGTCCTAATAAAGAGATACTTGTTCTCTCTGTACAATCTCTTCATCTCAAATTCTATAAGGGTTGGAAACATCAGAAAGCTAGATTCATCATGCGAGAAGGTAAGCCAAGCCAATCGAATCGGGACGTCATCGTTCAGACCTGTGTGACTGCTGGATACGATGAGCAAATTACTGTAGCGTTTGCTCCTTCTATGACTAAGATATGTGCAATTTTCAACGAGACAGTTTGGATTTAGAAAGGAACTCTCGACAAAAGACGTGATCTCAGAAGCAGTCCACCATGAAGAAACTGCAAAAAGGAATAAGGGTTTTTGTGCCTTGGTTGCGATTGACATCAAAAATGCCTTTAATTCTGCCAGCTGGAAAGACATCATACAAGCCCTAGTAGCTAGAAAGACCCCTTAATACCTTGCGAGGATCCTGGAGGATTACCTCAGGGAGAGGAAAATAATCTACACTAACAGGTATAGGATTGAGGAAGACATGACATGCAGTGTTCCAAAGGGATCAAGATTCCTGTGGAACACTATATGACAACTTGCTAAATATCGAACTTCCAAAGAACTCCAGCCTCATGGGCTACGCCGACGACACACTGATTATATGCCACAGTGACAATGTGGAACAACTGCAAATGAAGACCAACGAAACACTACACAGGGTTAAAAGGTGGTTGGACCAAAGAAATCTCCAAATGGCTGTTGCCAAGACGGAGGCTGTGTTGATTACAAACCGCAGAGCATCCCCCCCCCCATTAATCCAATTAGGGGAGGAACTTATTGAATGGAAACGGCAGATTACATACCTGGGGGTGGAAATTGATTCACAATTGAGCTTCAGACCCCACATTAATAAAATAAATGAGCCAGAAAAGCTGCAAAGAATGGATCAAATCTCTCCAGACAAATGGTGAACTCAGGGGGTCCCAGTGAAAGCAAAAGAAGGTTATTTTCTGCCGTAGTGCACTCAAATATGCTGTATGCTGCCCCAGTGTGGGCAGATGCGCTAGCTAAAGAGTCCATTGGAAATTCACACAGATCCAGAGAAGGATGGCTCCAAGGAGAATCTCAGGATATCGCAAGGTATCCGACAGTGTAGCATTAGTACAGGCCAGTATCCCGCCAATGGACCTTTTAGCCCAGGAAAGGAGGACAATGTACCTGAGGACAACAGCGGATAAACAACAAACCCTCTCCAAAAGACAATAACACAATATCAAAGTGGAATTGAGAAACCATCTTCTGCACCAGTGGCAAAACCGATGGGACCTGGAGTACAAAGATAGATGGACAAAAAACATTGACCCTAACATCAAAGATTGGACTAGCAGAAACCATGGCGCAATGGACTTCTACTTGACGCAAGCCTTCTCAGGGCATGGGAACTTTCAAGCATATCTATAAAGATTTAAAATCGCTGAAAGCCCGATATATGCACTAGGCCATGAAGACGATGACGCAATGCACACCATATATAGTTGCAAAGCTTGGGAAGAAGAAGGAAGAAACTGAAAAGCAAATTGCGACTGGAATTAACGCCTATAAACACAGCCCAGACTATGCTGCAATCCAGAGACAACTGGAAAACAGTGCGAGACTTTGTGGCTCACGTACTAAAACAGAAAGCCACTACTAAAAGCAGAGAGAGCAAAAAACCATAGCGGCCATCTCAAGAGGAAAGCTCATGCTTTCAGCCAATCTTCTGCGTGAAGTATTGCCTAAACGACGGAGAAAAAATACCAGTATAACATCACCTTGTTTGAGAGATCTTAAATGTTCTGCCAAGGGACATAATGTAATAACTCATAATGGAATTACTGTAGTATATGTTATAATAAATATATTTTAAAATCATTTAATATTGCGTTTTTCGCTTTCGATTTGAACTTATTTTTGCGTATATGAAGATCTATGTCGATATAGATTTCATTCTTTTTTTTGGCACTGAATTTGATACAGTTTTGGCACAATGATAACAATTGTGAAGTTAACACTTGGTAAAGTTTATAATGACCATTTCATAATTTCATATTGTTGTTTGTTTATAAGGCTAATAATTGGTTAGACTAATGTAGATATAAACTAAACAGACATCTGCATCTCATTTCTATAGTTCACCAACTACAGCGCAACATGCCACGCAAGAAACCAAAGTTCTTTCACGCTCTTTCTTTCACCCTTTTCCATAATTTTTGTCGAGAACAAAGGATGGCATCCAATAGAGAAGTGCAATCAATGCTGAGGGGTATCGTGTTTATTGTTACTTTATACCAATTTGCTAAACAATTTATTACACTATTAAATGGTTAGAAATTGGCAATGTAAACAAAAAGTTTTTATTGATTTTTAACAAAAATACATGTACTTTTGTGACCTGAAACTTTAAAATCTCCATTCACTGTAAGTAGGCCAAGGTTTCAATGAGATTTAAATGAAGAGTTGACACAAATACAATGTTCAAAGAATTAGGGGCACAAAAACTAAATTGTTATTAAAGAAGTAGAAACCATAAACTAAGAAGTGATAGCAAGAAATAATGAAAATGAAAAAATACATACCTTGAAAAAGTCGAGTGGGTTTGTCAACAGCAGCAGTGTTAACCCAGCATTGGGCAGGAGGACATGGTACTAGTGTGGCAACTCCTTCTTTTAGTTCAATTCGACAATGTTTGGGCTCCAAGCCAGGACCACTCAGCACTATGTCAGCATTGGGATCTGATCCTAATCGAGTGTCACCATCCTGCTGGAGGTGGTACAATGTGACACCTGTACTGGTAACATCATCATCAATACCAACTAAATGAGGACGATCAGAGTCGAGCACTACACCCAAGCCTGATTTCCGTAGCCCCAAAGCTTGTTGCTCTCTCAGAATTTGTTGAGTCTCCCGCCATTTTTCTGCCCATTCTTCACAGAGTTCCTTTTCTTGAGCTTGCTTGCGTTGTAGTTGTGCTAGCATTTGAGGTTGTGCTTCTGCAGGCTACGCATATTAAAACACTATTTCAAAACCAGCACATACTATTTCAAATTTTTAGTAATGAAAAATGGAAACAATAAGACTGAACATCAATAATTACAAAAAGAAAACATTTTTAAGAAATAAATCTTATACGCACAAAATATATATCAACAACATAAGTTTACTATTACAGTAAAATCTCTCTAAGCCGGAATTGATCAAGACAAAAAAAAAAGCATTCCGGATTAGGGAAGTTTCCATATTATACAGGGTTGTATATTTATGACACTTTTAATATTGATATTTCCGCTCGGAAACTAGTAAATTACACAACTTAATTATAATTAACATTAACACATAACATATTTATGGTTATTTATTGGTTGAAAATCACCAATAAATTAATAATTAAACATCTTCATTCACAGCTTCTGAGTTTCTCTTGCTTCTATAAGTTCGACATTTCCATCTAAGGTTAGAGTTTTTCAACCATTGTTAAACCTAAAGTGGTCGTGAAAAAAAAAAAACACTACTTCATGGCCTAGTAGCTTCAGTCAGACTGCTTGCCGAATCTTTCAAAGCAAAATGCATTACAGCCCTGAGTACTATGACTTTGAAACCCTCGCATGGACTTGAGCAGTGTCTCCTGCTGGGGATTTATAACTTACTATGCTGGGATGGAGACACGTAAGCAGAAGCCATGTCCGTTCACCTTCCCATGCTCAGAGTCGGGAGGGAGAGAATCCCTGTATTGCCTACACTATGAGAGTCTAAACAACCCCAAAGTTGAATTCTACTCTGACAGCTGAGCCTTTTCAACTGTCTGGCAGCCACAACTAAATTGCGTGGCACTGAGATATAGAATTTAGAACAGACTTTTGAATGAACATTCTCTTAGAATATCTTGCAGCTCTCTACCAAGTCATAAAGAGTTCCACTTTATAAAGGATTTTTCACCTATAGAACATGAAAAACCGTCCCGATTGTGCTTGAAGAAATTCCGTTTAATGTTGTGTAAAATGCCATTTAACTTCATGGGCCAGAGAAATTTTCCGCTTATACAGGTTTCGGTTTAGACAGATTTTACTGTACATCATATGTAAGAAATATGTGTATGGTAGCATACAATTTGACTTAACTTTAGCGCCAACAATAATAATGTATAAATGCATACAAGTTTTCACTCACAAAACCATCTCCCAGCAACAATTTTAGCTTTGAAATTTCAGCTCGAAGGTCTCGAATGAGTTTTACGTTCGGATCTTCATTGATGGTTGGCTTATTAATTATATTCTTTGCACGGTTAGCATATCGTAGAGTACTCAATGACTCCCCGTAATTGCAATCCGCAGGGGAAACAGCTGCAATTTAGCAAACATTTGTCATTACCATCACCATTCATTATCATCATTATTATTAATGACATTCACATTCATTAAAAGTTCATAACAATTTACAAGAATAAAAGTATTTTTTACGGAGAATCAGTCTCCACTATAAAACATAGGGGTTCCTATATGAAATTCACAAGTTGCCCCACCCCCACCCCAGGGGGTGAAGGTGGCAGCTCGAGATCGGCATCATCTAATAGATCCCTCTGAGACAAACAAACTTTATTCGAAACATTTCTTAATATGATTCTTAGTTTTTAAGATATTTAGCTCTCTCAAGGTAAAAAAAATAGATAGATAGAGAGATAGAATGATATAGATGAACCATATAGTCTGAATGACAAAATTAATTGATATTTATTTACATTTACTATACCTATTCCATCAGCAGTATCAACCTTGAAACAGTCTCATAATAAAGGTTTGGGAGTAAATAGATAAAGAACTAAAATGTAATGTACCCATTAACAATGTAATACAATTAAAAGATAAACAGTGAAATTTAGATCTTCACAAACACCTAAAATTATATAAATGCCCAAAATAAGTGAAGCCCAAACTAATGCTCTGCTCCTAAAATTGGTCTTCAAGCACAAATTTAATTAAAAGAAACTATTGAGCACATTTATTTCTTTCTTATAGCTTACAAAATAAATAAAATAAATGTACCTAGTCCAATGTTCATAATTATTTTAATATATTAAAAATGTTAAAACTGCCCTGCTAGAAAATTTCATGGTTATTTTTAAGTATAAGGTTTTAAACAGTTGGATGTGAAGCTCTTTGGTTTAGGACATGTTCTTACCCTAATTTAATAGATTCAATGTTGCAAATGCACTGTTGGTCTAAGAATTTGAATGTAGAACTTTTTTTTTTAATTCATTGGTTTGCCTAGCCAGTTTGAGAAATTTATACATTACTGGAAATGATATTGAATTTATTCAATCTGTTTACTCAAAATTGGCTTTGAAGACTATTTATGAGTTTCATTAATTATTTGATCAATTAATTTGTACATTAATATATAAATATGTAAATGGCTGTTAGTGCATTCATTGAGTGATAAATCATGATTATCAAAACAGACTTTAATAACAAGTTTGTCTGTTTTGATGGATGTTAACACTTGTAAAATCATTTGAGTAACTGTATGATCATTACCAATTTTATGAAGACCATTTCATAAATAATGCAGTTTGGCAACACTGCTGGCTAAAAGGCACGATCCTCCTTATTGTTGCATCCCTTGTAATTCAAAATTTGAGGAAGAAGTATGCATCTCATTTTCATCAATAACTTATTTCATTATTGATTAACATGTCTTAGAAATGGAGCACAGGTCTCAGGTACAGTGAGAGCTGAGAATCAAAGATAGCATATTCAGATTGAAACTATATGGGTTAAACACGCTGCTGAAATACAAAAAGCTTTAAGTGAATTGTACGGTGAGCTTAAAGTGGTCAGTAGCACAGTTTCCCGTTGGCTAATAGATTTCGTGAAGGTCATAAGAGAAAAAACAATGTTGCAAGACTGGGAAGACCCACAACATCAACAGATGAACGAAGTGGCATATGTGTTAGGTGTTGTGGCAGATGTTATTGAAAAAGATTGCCGTGTGACATTTGAAAATATGCCATAGAAGAACAGGAATTTCAGTAACAGCCATATTTCGAATAATGTCAAATGATTGATACTGAAAATGCACAAAGTCCAACCTTTATTGCTTGACCACTCTGGGTCACTTATTCTCCATGACAACACTCGCCCACATAAGGTCATGTTGGAACAGAAAAGTTCCATGAATGTGGTTGGAAAGTGTTACAACATGCACCCTACAGTCCAGACATGTGTCCAGCAGACTTAGACTAATTCCCAAAATTGAAAAAAAATTTGTGAAGACATACGTTTTATTCCTTGATGAGCTTTCTGTAGCGGTTACCTGAATCATTCGTCAGATAAACAAAGAAGGGGTATTTGATGGAATTCTAAAGGTTACAAATTGTTGTGTCTTAGTAAATGTGACGAATGGAGGACTGTAAAGAGATTTTCTCAAACAACTAAACATGTAATAAAATATAAAATACTGTACATTATTTATGAAATGACCCTCTCAGTTCTTTCAATTTGAACACTTCTCTCTCTATTGATTTGCAATTACACACTTTCATTGTAATGATCTAGGTACACTGTTATTGATGTGTCATTTTCTTTAATTTATGTTTTGGGCATATGCCCAAGAATTGATTTATAATAAAATAAATTAATAAGTTTGTAATAAATAAGTTTATAATTGTGATTTAATTGTAACATTGTTACTCTATGAAAGAGATTTATTATATAATTTTATTACACTGTTAGTAAGATATGTGTACAACAGCTTGTTGGCTGCCACCATTAATAAATAAATAAGTTTGCTTCTCATTGAAGAAAAGAGTACACATGCATTGAGTTTTAACAACACAAGTAAAGTCAGGTTTGAAAATGGCTGATGAGAATACCTGTTTTTCCAAAGAAGAACTATTCAGAACTTCTTGTTTCATCCATCGAGTCATAAGAAAAATTTATTCATTTATTTTTACAAAATATTTTTATAAACACTAAAATTCAATCTTTGAATTTGCAGTTTAATTTCCAGATTAACACGAATAGGAACAAGCAGTGAACCCGCAGAAGTGTGAAGGAACATGTGTAACAGGTGGAGAAATGTTCAATGGAACCGAGGGGAACATGTTGGGGGAATATGGAGGACCACATGGTGAACATGCAAGGAATCATTTATAGGATATTATGAAAAACCTGCAGGAAACTTGCAAAGGAAAATACATGCAAGAAACATGTAGGGAAACCTGCAAGGAGAATACTGAGAATGTGCAAGGAATATGTGCAGAAATATGCAAAGTACAAGAAGAGCCAGAGTTAATTTGTTTTAGATTCTACAAAATGAGATCTTTTGAACCTTCTTTTACATTTCTGGAGATTTAAATCTTCTGGGTATACCCATTAGCTTTCATTCCTAGCCAGAATTGAGAACCTTAAAATTTAAGTAAAATTAAATTGAAGTTAATAGGCCCATCATGACAGGCCTATAAAACTTCAACAGTGTTTAGGGGCTGGATGTTCAAAGTTGGATACAGTAAGAAGCTATTTTCACCTTTGAAACGATTTACAAAATGCACAAAGTCACATAGGTCCAGCTGATATATTTTACTCCACTATTTACATCTGCATAAAAAATCATTGGATCAGTTGCAAAATTTTTATTCTTAAGGACAACTAATTGAATATTATTATTATTATTATTAATATTACTAATGACCTGCTCCCAAAGTTTGTCAACTCTCCTATTTTTGAAGTGCTCAGCAATCCTAGAAGTTTACTTATTATAAAGAATGGGTATCTAACACATTTTCAATTTTAAAATATCAATGGACTAGAAATTTTATATCAATAGCGAAAACTTTTTGACTAGCCCTCCTATACAGCAAACACAGAATTGCACAATAAATTATTTACATTAAATACAGTAATTGTTTTTAAACACCACAAAAAATGTATTCTAAACATTATTCTTTTAAAAAATTAGTACTTTTTAAAAATAATAAAAATATATTTGAAAGAATCTCGTATTTGAGATATGCACACCAGACACAACAGAGCAGAACAAGTTTGTAGGGGTTTACATGCTTACCTGCTAACATGATAGTCTTTGAATTGCCTCCAAGGCTGTCTTTTAGAAGCCAAGTAAGAACTGAATCTCGATATGGGATGAAGACCTGCCGAACTGGTTTCCCCTGATTGCCTCCTGATGAATTTTCAGCAAGAGCTGAGATCACAGAGCCCAAGGTCACGAGAGATTTATTAATGTGCCCTCCTTCCTTGAGTCGTTGCCCAGTTGCACCACTGGTGTCAGCACGTTCACTGCAATTTTTACACATTTATTTGCTCTGCTTAATATCATAGAATTGAATGCAGCATTATAGTAAAACGGAGTTTTGAAACCAATTTATAAATTGCACAAAATAATGCATACAATTATTTACTTTTTTTATTTATGATGTTGTAAAATACACAAAATAAAATATCAAAGATTTATTATTATGATTTATTTGCACAAAGGATTTCTCCTCGCGGTGCAACTCTGTAGACAAATACAAACTGTTTATTCTATTTAAATTATAAGTTTTAGATAAATAAAGTGATAACATGATGATTTCATGAAATATAAAATAAAAATAAAGTAATAATGGTGATTTAAAAATTAAATAAAAAATTTCATTCTAGAACTAACAAATCAAGCCATTTTCTGAGAATTCTTTTGTGTATAGGTCTGTTTAAATTTACTTTCCAATTCAATATTCATGTTATTTAAAATCTTCCTACTTAATATTTTATAGATCCCTCTCATTAATTCTTTACTTAACCTGCGCCAGCCCTCTCCCACTTCAGAAAGTTTCATGCTATTTCTGAATCTGCTCATAGCTTCTTACATATGTCTAGATAAAATTTCCTAATAGTGATAATACCAGTTTCCTTCCTGATTAATATCGCATATGTTTTTTTAAAATTATGATGACTAATCCTTTCTAATGTTAGCTAATGGTCTATGGTGCAGTCACATGCTCCAGCTCAAGTAATAATACCATAAATGGCTATTTTGTCCTAGAATACAGCATATCATTAGCAAATATTCAATACTTAAAATGCAACTTGGTTTACAAAATATATTAATCAAATATCTGATCTTTTTCACAGTTTAAGTTATATTATTGTTCCCTTTAAGATGTGCATCTATATGTGCCAAGATATTTATTCATTCTATTTTAGAGCATGTATCGACATTGACTAACATTATTTTAATATCTTACCTGCCAGCAAGATCAACCAGATGTACTTTTGATTTTGTCTCACTGGGCATATCATTCGAAAAACCTGCCTGAACAAACATGATAGTAAAAATTGCATGACTTCGACTGCTCACATCATTCATGTTTGTTGCAGCAGTTGTTCTGTGAGAATTGCCACGAGTCATTAGTTCACTGATATCTTCATAATCCATGACAAGATGCCTTGATAATTCCTGAACGTAAGGGCCTAATCGAGGGTGCTCTCGAACCTTTAAAGTATGACTGGCATTTGATCTAAGCAAATCTTTGACTCGTTCATTGTAAATTTCAAGGTATGATACTTCAGTTCTGTATGTAGCTCCTTGTTCCTTTCCTTCCTGCATTCGTGTAAATAACATTTTACAGATGCGAGGAATTAAGCCCAAATTATCCTGAAAACATTAATGAAACATCAATTAATATATAGTACATTGGGAGAACAATAAAAATTGAATTTACATTGCTGTTAATATTATTGTTAATGTTCTGTGACTTATCTACAATCTAAGCAGTTTACCAACGGGCATTTAGTGATTTCCATTTCAGTCATGAATTTGGTTATGCTCCATTCAGAGTGATAGAAGGCAGACTTGATTTTCACTATGTATTTATGGATGTTTAAGGGCAATCAAATTTTATGCAATGCAAAAAAGGGTTTTCAGATGTATCATCGAGACCAAAGTTCTTTTACATGCCACAAATCTGTGACATGGAACAAGCAACTTCATTTCCCTTCTGAAGGATGGTGACTAAAGAATTCTTTCAACCTTGAAAATCACAATTTCAAATACTTTTGTTACACTGCCAAACTAATAGGCTACAAATTACATCATGGAACTTGCAATTCACAATAACAAGACGCAAAATAAAATACCTTAATCCATCCCTTTCACATACAATCAGAAACAGAAATAAAAATCTTTAATCAATAATCGCAATAACTAGACAATGTTCAAAAATACATGGAAGTTCTCTTAGATTAGCTGAACAGGACACAAAGAAATGAGGATAAGGTAAATTCATTGATTTGGATTCCTTATCATTAATCAATAAGCAGTAGCAGATAGTGATTACAAATAAATTAACCAAAAATGAAGGTTGCAAAGTTGCACATTTTCTTCCTGTTTGGGAAGCCTTGATGATCCTTTACTGATACAATTTATCTTTGACCCACCCAAAACATTTACATCCTTTTCACTCAAGTCTGAGGGATCCTCCATGAAAATGTCACCTGTCTTCTTAGTATCAGGGCCTTCAATTCCAACTTTTGTTTCTATTGCAATTCATACTTTACACCTAAGTATGCAAATGAATAATGATAAAGAGCAGTGAATGAAGTTATCGAAGACATTCCTTCAGATATTTTTTTATCTTATTTTTGTCCTATTTATTTATTTTACCACAATGTGTCTATGTAGTTGTCACACATCATTATTCATCACATCATTAATCATTCCAACTTTTTAATATTTTTTAAAAAAGAAGTTATTAAAATGTCAGGGAATCGCTGACAGGTAGAATCTCCACATTCTCATTTAAGCCATAGTTATTATTTTTTCCCCGTTTCATCCCACTAAATCAAACAAGCATGGTAAATGATGAGGTGAAGAGAAGAGACACTGGGCTGATCCCTTTGTCCCTACGACTATAGGCAAGGTAAAACTGTAGAATATAAGTTTCTGGCACTTTTTAATTATAATGTGTGTGCAGTGGGGTCTGGTCTCATTATGATTGTATTGCAATGCCTTCTCCCATTGTCTGCATCACAATTTGGGCTAAAACGGTACTTTTCATGATTATTGCTCATTTGTTGTCATCGTCACATCAAGGTACCTGAAAACAGATATTAGCACAGAAATTTGGATCCTCAATTTTTGCACTGATTCCCAAATTCTCCCTCTATTCTTCATGGAGCCAAAGAAAAGTAAAAAAAAAAACAAAAACAAAGATACAAGAGGGAAGAGAAAATAAAATATCATTAGAGAAAAAAGGAAGGAAATTAAAAATACAAAGAAAAGAGAACAATGTAGCATAAAAATGAAAGGCGAAAATAAAAATTAAAAAAGAGATGAGGAGAAAGATAAGAGGTATTTAAAACAGCAACAAATATAAATTGATCATGTGTGTTACAGCGAAATTGTTGTACCGTTTGGTTGTAACATATAATTATATTAATTGTTGACTTGTATCAATAAACCTTGAAAATAATTCTTCTGCCAGTAACACTGGAGCATCCTCCCAAAGTTAAAATGAAATAGACAGTTTAGGAAATTAAGAAGAAAAATAATATGGGTTAGAGTGGTCAAAGAGGGAAATGGGAAATAAATCTCATGAACTTATTAATTGTAGTGGGTACTTAATCATAGAAAGATTATAAAAAGAGAGAATAGTATGTAAGAACTAAATAGTACCTTTATTATTCGTTTCTTAAAATTTTCTCATAAGGGTGAATCTCCAAAACAGTATTTTGCCCATCAATGGTTATTAATAATAAAAATATTCAATCATTATGTGTAAGCTCATACTTACTGAAGAACCCATCATTGTAAAAGTCTTTCCACTTCCTGTCTGTCCATATGCAAAAACACAAGCGTTGTATCCTTCAAAGGCATTTTCTATAACATCTGTGCCCAAGTCATTGAAAACCTATAAATCATTATAACATTGTTTCAATAGTTTACAACTCTACATTTGCTTGTTTTAAATGTATAGTTAACTTACCTGTTCCTGAGAAGCATAGTGAGAATCAGATGGATCAAAAGACCAATACGAATGATCGAAAGTAAAATCTTTATAATGTTCACGTGCACCATCACTGTCTTTACAAACTGCTACCTGTGGAAATATAAAATCAATTCTCTGATAACTCTTCATTATTTTATTTTTGTTTTTTTAATTCCATTCACAACTAACTTCATAATTAATTCTAAATTTATAATTATACCTTTGCATTGATAATCCGGGTTCTCTTTCCATTCATTTCCACAATAAGTTTAGCATTCATATCTTTTTCCCTGAATAATGTGATGAAAATAAATATATCATTCCAGTTGTCATCGCACGTGAAGAAAATCATACAAAATGGAAAAGCACGAACGTCAACACCTCATCATCCCAAGGGTACAACGAACAAGGCATTTTTTTTAAAATTACATCTGTTCGTTTCTTTCTAAGGCAATTATTTACTTACCTTTGGTTGAAAGGTCTAACACGGACTGCTACTTTGACAGAAGCCATTACGTCACACGAAACGTTTCCGGACTCACTGGATCCCAAAGATTCTAATAAAATTTTACGATGTTGGATAATTTACATTTTACCTCACATTTCGACGCACCATTCACCTCTTTTCTCTCTTAGTAAAACATATCACCTATTCTGTTGAACTGTCAGGCCCACAAACGCCTCACACTCGCGAGGATCCAGCATTGGTCATCTGATACGATACTTGCTTACCCCGTTTCCAGCCCGTTTCTCGCTTCCCAGGGACCACCTGACATTGCGTTCAATTGTTTTTCGGACAACCTTGCCAACATTGCATGTACATTCGCATTCGTACGTGATGCATTTTCTCAGTTGATTTTCTCCAGGCAGTGTAAACATAAATGTTCCCAGACACTAAAAAAACTAATATATGTAACAGAGGAAACCGACTTCTTTGTTGTTTACTTGTTTTGTTTACATTTTAGATGTACAAATAAATGTGTTACGCAACTCTCACGTACCTAAACAAGAACACGATGGTTTGTACATCGTCTGAACCAATGAAAGCGAAATGGTCACTTTCGTAATGAATGTGCTGCTGAAAGCAGTAATTCTGATTTACCCGTACGTATCATCAATGATAGGGGGAATCCACGCAATCAAGCCGGTGTCGCTAACCGAATTCGCTTGCTACGCTCCGTGAAGTCACAGCGGTTTAGCCAGGCTCACGGGTTGCTGTTCGGGTGGCCGGCTAGGAACCCCGGGATTAACGGCGTCGAGCCCCTGGCAGAAGGGATAAAAGACACTGATTTGGACGTGACGAGACTTGAAAACGATAGTAAAGGATGATTACTCCACGGAAGCCCTGAACCCCCAACAAGGGCATAAGAGACGCATTGCGCCAATGATGCAACAGTTTTCATTTTTTTAAGCACAAACTTATAGTTGCCATACACCACAAAAAAATTAAAAAAACAAATAATTTTCCTCTGAAACCATTCTAAGCCTACAATGGATTTTAAATAGCTGCAGAAATACAGCGATCACATTTTGAAATTATAAAAACAGGACATTTGAATATTGACACAATGATAAAAGGGGCAATTTCGCCTGCGGATATTGCCGGGTGGATCGAGTAGCTCAGCAATGCCGTTGCCGGTCCCAATCCCGGATAAAGGAGGAGGGTTCCCGGGAGAGACCAGCGACCTGCCCGGGGTAAAAAGGATAGAAATGCTCATAGAACAAAGGATAAGCCTCGGAATACGATTAATAAGACGAACATGGCACGAACAAGGACATCGAAATGGAAAACAGAAAACATACTGAGATTGGAAACATGGAATATTAGATCATGAAACACAAGCTATCATGAAATTCTAATGGAATTAGATAGACACAACATAGATCTATGCTGCCTTTCAGAAACGAAAAAAAAGGGAGAGGCATAACACAAATAATTACACACTTGTCTATAGTGGAGTACAAAAATTCTTAAGAGCAGCAATCATAATAAACAACAATCTCGATAAGATAATAGAATACAAGTACATATCAGAAAGAATTGTTACAATAAAATTAAGATCTAAAACAAAACCAATAAACATAATCTCAGTCTATGCTCCTGAAACTAACAAGCCTACACACGAAAGACAAACGTTCTACGAGAACCTACAAGAAGTTTATACCCAGACAAATCCAGAGGAGACAACTATAATAGCAGGCAACTTTAACGCACAGAATTGAAATGACGTTATCCCTGGCATAAAAAACAGATTCAACGACAACGCACACCTAAATGAAATGGAGAACTGCTCATCGAGTTCTGCTGGATAATGAATTAAGAATAAATAATACCTTCTTCGATACAATAATCCACATAAATACACATGGGAAAATAATAGGGACACCGAACCATAATAGATTATGTGATAACGAATAGAATGTGTCACCCATCAAACATCTTAGATATATGACGCTTAACAAGCGCAGATATTGGAAGTGACCATAATCTGATGCTAACCAAGTTAAGAACGACACTTAAACGGGAAAAAACAATACCCAGGGATACAATATCAAAAATTAATATCCAATCCCTTCAAGATGTGGTCAACACAAAAACTTTATAGAGATCGCTTAGACGAAGAATCAATAACAACGGAATTAGAGAAGAAGATGATATTGAAGACAGCCTGGGAAAAATAAAACTAATATACTCAAGTCAGCGGGAGAGCATTAGGAAAAATTACAGAAAAAGTCAACAGAAACAAGGCGAATATAGCATGGGTATAAGAAGAGATCAACAAATAACTTGGAGAAACTCCAAGCGTTTCTCAAATACGAACAGTCTAAATTATTACAGACTATGAAGAATACAAACTTATAAGAAATCATTGGGAATCATTTACTGCAAGATGGAACACTGACTTTTACGGCCTGCAAAAACAGATATGGCGTTTCAATAAGAAATACACGCTCTGAAACAAATGAGTTGTAAGCACAACAAAAATCAGTAACACGGAATGGGTTGGAATATTTTAGTAAGCTATTTCACAATAACGAGGCTCCAGTATTGGATATAGCCGACACACTAACACAAGACTATGAGAATCTCAGAAGAACGAAATTATACTAACGATACCCAAATTAAAAAATAGGAAGGAATACCCGCAGGAGGATGACATCTTATAACAAACTATTAAAATAGGGGCAAAATTCATTACATTAAAGAATTAGTAAAACATACAAAACTAATATAGGCAAGAGTAATACCAGAGGAATGGAAACGAAATGGAAAAGGGGACAAGTAGACCAAACAATTATAGGGGAATTACTTCTGAACACAACGCTTAAAACTAAACAAAATTATCACACAAGTAATAGAAAACTTATAATGGAAAAGAGAAGCAGCACGGATTCAGAAGAGGAAGGAGCATGTAATGATGCGATGCTTCATTAGTACGACAAATGTTGAGAAATCCCCTGGGGGGGAAATTATTTTCGGAAATAAAAAACATAACTCTACATATATTGGTGTTTCGTGACATTACAGAAAGCATTGACAGCGTAATGACACATCTCTATACAGCGACCTGGTAATGTAAAACAACATCATCTAAACAATCTTTCGAAACAAAAAAGGTATATTTACTTCGGATCCTATAACATATTAACTCAATCTGTTATGCAGGATGATATAGTCTTAATTGCCGAAAGCGAAGGATGATTTACAACTCCCCTGTTTCAATTCTACAAGACATCCAGTAAAACATGAGGGATATCCACACAAAAAACTAAAATTGGGCGGCAACAATCGAAGAGAGCCATTGAGATGCAAACAGCTATAAAGATATACCTAATGGAGCAAGTGATGGAATACAATATTTAGGCATAACAATAACTAGCGAGGCAGATCTTACAAGGGCTAAGGAACAGAGCATTAAAGCAAATAGAATAGGCAAGGCTTTCTCAACCTACTCGATATGGCGAAATCAATATTAAGAAAAGACTAAAATTAGATATATATAAGTCAGTAATTAGACCAGTATTGTCATATGCATGCTGAACGAGAGAGACTCAAAAAAAAAATATGCAATGATGAAGTGTCGGAAATGCGGGTTGCTGAGAAAAATTATCAAAAATAAACTGATAAATGAATCCTAATATTAATATAAGACTAGACTTGACAAATAGATATATCTCAGACTGGGTTCGAGAAAGAAATGGAACGAACATATGACAGAATGGAAAGAAGACAGACTGGTGAATAGTGGCTAGCTATAGTAAGACTGGAGAAGAGAGAAGAGTAGGAACATCCAAGAACTAGGTGGAAAGACATTTTGTGAAACAGATCAGCATGATATGTGCCAATTTATAAATATGACTTAAATAAATTAATGGTATAGGGGGTTTAAAAAAAATTAATTAAGTGTCCTTTGTAAAGAAACAGGCTCTAGCCTAAAATGAAAGTAAGAAGAAAAAGAAGATAAAAGGGGCAAAAGAGGATGTTAAACACTACTATAAATATTTAGGTTTAATAATTCAGATTAAATACATTAATAAATCAAGAAACACGTATAAATTTCATGATATACTAGTATGATGCCAACAAAAAAATATCCTAAAAAGAATCATTAGAAAAAATACGCATTTGTTTAAATTATACTTTCATTCTCAAAAATGAGTGTTAACACACGTTTGTGAGATTATAATCAAAATACAATAAATATATTAGTCATTATATATGTAATACTATCATTTATCTCATCGCCGGAGTAAACATTTCCTCATAAATATATCCATTGCCAAAAATATTAATATATGTTTAAAAATGTTGGATATAGATATGTTCATGTTCCAGCTTAACTTCTCAATGCGAGAACAATGTCATTTCAACAAAACTTTGTATACTTCATTACTAGGCAATTACAATGGGGAAAAGAAACATCATGGTAAGACAACCTTAGAGGAATGGGTGGGAAAGTAGTGACATTTACAAACTCACGCAACCCGCAATACATGCATTCCTCGTGTAATGCGCACTGACATTTATAGTGGACGAAACTGATACTGCTGATTAATACACGATTGTGATAAATAACCCCCCGGTTATCGTCGGATTTTCACTCGATGAAAAGGATGTAGGAGTAAATGGCGAATATGTGCATTGGCTATGCAGTCCAATGTGGATAAGGTGCGATTCTTTCTTATTACATTATCAGCATATTAATTTTGGAATTAATGTATTCGTTTTCGAAAATTAGGGTATGAAGGAAAAGCTGTAGTATTAGGGTATGCTGTAGGAAATGCTCATGATGTTTCTTATTGAAGAGTCATAGAGAGAATATTCAATTAATGTCTTCAATACAATAAGAAAACTGTTCGAAGGCTTCCTCTTGGGCGCAATTTTGACCAATAAATGAAATGCTGTTCCCAGCCTCGTCAGTTTCAGGGGAATTGCCACATGCATGCTTAGAACTATAATTGACAAGAGAAGAGTACTTCAGCCCGGATTTTCTGCAGCTACATGCCTCGGCATACCATTTGATTATATGAAGTGAAAGTTCTAAGGGTGCATTTCATATTATTGTAATTAGGCATGTATGTGGTAGACGACCAGCACAAATTCTAACAAATCACTCTGTTTCCATTGCAGAATATTTCCTTCTATTGTCTACGCCTACTTGTCTATTACATTTGTATCTTGTAACATGTTTTAATATCCAACATTACTTTTGAAAAGGGGAAAAAATTAGATTTAAAAGTAATATAAATATTAATTAGTAATAATAAA